ACGCCTCTGATGCTGCTTGGCCTGCTGTGTTCATCCAGCTCTACACCTTGTTATCTCAGATTCTCCAGCATCTGCAGCTCCTACTATCTCTGAAATAATTTATACCCCTAGTCACTCTGGGCAAATTAGCATGGCCAGTCCACCTAACCTGCACATCTTTGGACTGTGGGAGGAAACTGGAGCACCCAGCAGAAACCCACGCAGACACAGGGACAATGTGCAAACTCCACACAGTCACCCAAGGGTAGAATTGAACCCACGTCTCTGGCACTGTGAGGCAGCAGTGCTAATCACTGAGCCACCATGCCGCCCAGTGGTGATTTGATATAAATGTGTCAGATTTTCAGTTCTGCCGGTAATGTGAACAAAAATAAAACTAATGTTTCTAGCCACTAGCATGATATTTCTGATAATTCAACCTATTTGTAGTGACTGAGAAGCATTTGCATTCACTGCATCAGTAGATTGTGCAAAGTCTGTATTTAAATGATTCCTTGTCCTAAATGGTTTTCTGGATTTTTTTTGCATGGCCATTCTCACCATGATGTATGTGTGCAAGTTCCATGGGGTGAAAGATAACCTGCAGGTGCCTAAAAACAGAAGCACTAGTACAAACAAAAGAATTAGATGCCATACAAGGAAATCTGTTTTCATCAGTATTCAATCTCATATCTGCAATGGAATTTTGGGACCTACAATATCATCAGATTTCATTTGTAATTTGATAGCTAAACATCTTGGTTTATTACCATGGTATTTCTGGCCACAAACAACTTCAATCTTTTTACAATGCTTGAAACCTTTCCTTTGACTACCAGAACATACTGTCTCAAATTTGTGACAGCAGTTCCTTGGAAGCATGTAGCTAATTGCAAGGTAGGATACATAAAAAAAGTTCATATTTACAAATGCTTTCATGCAAGGGAAGGTTTGTGGAGCATTTCAATGTATCTTGGGTTTTTTGTAGTGGAGGCTTTTGGGAGCATAAAAATTTCTAGATTGAAGAAAAAGAGTAATATCCATCTGATTCATCCTGGTAGTCATGAGATAGTCATAACAATTACAGTTAGCTAATCATAGCAGTTGATGTATATCAATTAGTCTCCAACATACCCAGACATGACAAAGGCCCCAGTAGTGTACCACAAGTCTGAACTCAACTTTTTCTTCCTAAGAACACTATCCATTATACGGTGGAACGTTAATGTGAACCCAGCCCATTATCCTCTCAGTATGTCTGTCTTCTGCAAATGATTTTCGGAGAATTAAAATGGACGATTGGTCCAATTTTGACCTATGTAAATTTGTGACAGGAACGGGCAACTAGAATTGCACACATGGATCATTTCCATGCATGAGAGTATTAGCTGGTCCCTAACATTGGGTGAGTTGGTTTATTGGAGTCAAACCTTTTCCCTATTTTGGCTAGACCATTTGGCTGAATTAGTGGGTAAGTTAGAAAATACAGAAAATAAATGTCATGCTGAAAGAAATATCAACTTCTGAGTGACTGTGATTTGACAAGAAAAATACCCTGACTTTTATGTAGGAGAATACTTATTTGTCATTTGTAACCTTTCTATATTCTCTAGTTGGTCACTTCCATCGATGCAAGTCCTCCCAAGACCTTGAACAGTACCCAGAGCATGAGAATTCAGAGGGAGACTGACTTTCTGAAGTATGTGAATGATTGTGTACCAGATTTTCTAATATCAGCTGATACTTATATTGATTGAAGTAAATTACATTGTTCGATGCGCCTAGAGTCCATTAGAAATTTTGCGCATGATCAGATGAGAGATGCAATTAAAGAGGACCAAACCCCAATCCTCAACTGGTAACCAACTTCATTGCTGTATCCACTTTGTATTCATTATTATTCTTTCTTAGTCATCTTCTCAGTATTTTGCTTTGACATCTTTGTCGCCAATTCAGAAACCAGTGCAAGCACAACCAGCTGAATAGCCTCCTGTGCTGTAATTATTCTAGGGAGTCAGTTAGCTCAGTTGGCTGGACAGCTGGTTTGCGATGTAGCGTGATGCCAACAGCACAGGTAAAATTTACATACCAGCTGAGGTTACCATGTAGATCCTGCCTACTCAATCCCAACCCCTGCCACCCCCCCAAAAAAATGTTAAACTCCATTGTTACAGAGATAGTAGGAACTGCTGATGCTGGAGAATCTGAGATAACAAGGTGTAGAGCTGGATGAACACAACAGGCTAAGCAGCATCAGAGGAGCAGGAAAGCTGACGTTTCAGGTCTAGACCCTTCTTCAGAAAAATCTCCCGAAACGTCAGCTTTCCTGCTCCTCTGATGCTGCTTGGCCTGCTGTGTTCATACAGCTCAACACCTTGTTATATTAAACTCAGTTGTCTCTGTTTAATGAGAAAGCAGCCCTGTGGTCAACTGGGACTACAATGATTTTACCTTTACCTTTAATTATTGTGTTTACTTTAAATGGAGATTGAACAAGTGCAATTTCAATTATATTACAAGCCAAAAAAGAAACAATGGTAAATCTTGATCCTATGTGTTAGAGGTCCAGGCTGACCAAGCTATTCACTGTCCGTTATAATCTTTAATTAATTTTTTGGTACTCTTAAGAGATTTTAAAGGACTGTAGCAGTGAAACATATGATAATTTCTACCCAGGCTGAATTGATCTTGCAGGCCTTTTAAATCTCACCTTCATCGAGCATACTTCACATTCATTGTGAGGGGGTGGAGAAAAGACTCCTACTTAAATTGTGCCTATCAAGATCTTGGGAAATCCCAAAACATTTCAAACCAATTAATTACTTTTGGAGGTAATCACTATTGTAATGTAGTAAATACAATAGCTAATTTATACACAACAAAGGCCCACAAACAGCAATGGAGAAATGATCAGTTAATTTGTTTTTGTGGTGATGGTTAAGAATTTGGTATTGGCCAGGACACCAGGGAAATACTCCCCCGCTGTCCTTAAAAATAGTGCCAAGGGTTTTTTTTTGTCCAACTGTGAGAGCAGAGAGGGCCTGGATTTAAAGTCGCTTCTCAAAGACACCTCCTGGAGCACAACACTTCTTTTTTTTAAGATAACTCCTTTTTTCTATACCATGTTAGGGTGTCAACCTATATTTTGTTTTCATTTCAGACCAACAGTGTTCTAGAGTGGAAGTGGAAGCGAAAGTGCCACTACTGGACCACAAACAGGTCTTTGCTGTAATGGCTGATACAAACAGCCTTTCCTCCTGGAGGGATATGATTCTGCCTGTTCTATGCCCCTCTGTTCTGGGGATTTTTTTCCAGAAGCTTTTAACCACAGACCTGTACTTTTATTTTATGCTTTTTTGTGCATAAAATCTAGTGCTATTCTCTTTGGTATTCTTTTCTATAACATATATTTTCACTGTTGTAGACTTTTCTGAAAGAGTACACAAAGTTTTTAAAACAACTGTCGTACAGATGTAAAAATGTAAAAATCTATTGGACATCCCAAAGTGCTTTGCACCCAATAAGTTCTGAAGTATAGTTACAGTTGGTATTTATATAAACTAGAGAATTACATTTGGAAGAATGCTATTGTGGGAATGTATTAAGAATACAGTCGGTTCTGATATAACACGATAGTTCCGTTCTCATGTGATCTTGCATTATAAGAAAATCGCGCAATAGCCGCGCCATTTAAACTAATGGGGCTGGAATCACATTACAGCCAATACAGATAAGGAAAGTTCACATTCTACAAGTAGCAATCTAAATTCTTCAATCGCGTTAAAGCCAATTTGCGTTGAAGAAACACGCGTTATATCAGAACCGACTATCAGAATGAGAAAGTGTTGACCCATTTCACAAACCACATAACTTGCACAGCATGGATTCTGGTAAACTCATTCACGTCTAAATCACTGTAATGGACCTTGCTATCAATTGACAATGGTATGGATGTGAGACTCGAACTGGGTAGAATAATCAGTTATGAATTCTTTGGTGACAGTTGGTAATGGAAAAAGTATATTTTTGTTTGTGCATCATTGTAATTTTTGTTTTTAGGTGTGCTTATTGCCTTGCCCCTCGTCCATCAGATCCTTTTGCACGTTTCTGTCAGGAATGTGGCTCACCAGTTCCTCCAGTGCCTGGCCGGAGGCTTCCACCACCTGAAGGAGCGCAGGTTAGTACTGAAACAATGAACTAACCTTCCTTGTGTAAATATTAACTTACATTATATAACATTATACATAACTTTAGGACAGCCGCAAACCATTTATAACCAGCAAAGGTTTTTCTTAAAGCTTTCGAAATGTCCTCATCGTTGTAAAATAAGAACTGTAGCAGTCAATTTTTGTACAGCAGATCTTACATATTGTAATAACAAAAGCAAAACACATTGGGTATTTTAAGACCCTTCAAACCATATTGTGATAATGATTAGATAATCTTTTTCTTATTGGTACTGTTGAGAATAAACATTAGACACAGAAAAGCCTCTCCAGCTCTTTTTTTTGAGAAATGTCGTATGATCTATTACATTTGCTAGAGGTTAAACGGATGTGATGATACTATGGCTTTAAGAAGTGTAATTTGTCCTGTTTTCTTTTTGAAGAGAGCTTGAGACATAGGTGATGAGCGTCTGTTCCCAAGCCAATAAAGTAAACAGCTTGTGAGGCCTTCGGTTTTTTTATAGTTGGAATAATAGAAGTAGCACGAATGGGAAGGGTCAAGCTCCTTCAGAACCAGGATTTTAGTTTTAGCTTTGAATAGTTTCTGGGGTCTTGAAGCAGAATGTGGAAGCTGTTGTTCCTCTCTCTGTTAAAGCTAAAAGCTTGGATTCTGTTCCTGCTGCTCGAATTACATGTGCGACAATCTATTTCACTGGATTTGGTGTGTTTATGGGATGATGCTATATTGGAACAGTTAGTGTTTAGTAGTTAAGTAATCTATTATTCTGTCAAATTTTCCAACAGTATTAAATTATTCAAATTCTTCTTCTTTTGTATTTTAACTATAGTGTATGAATAAAGTGTGTTTTGCTTCAAGCCTGTTAGTTTGACCAATTGAATTGCATCTGGAGCACAACGTCTTACACTTGACTTTAAAAATAAGAAAAAGTTGGGGTCTAGGCTATCTTATAATATTTTGATGGGGTTTTGCCTGTTCCATAACAAACTGGGGGCTCGCTCAGAATCAAAATTTCTAATTCTAGGTTGGGTTTAGAATTATTGGACTTAAAGGCAGTGAGTGGTCAGTGCTAGTGTTTTCTTTTCAGGTGCTGCATTTGGTTGGTTTAAATAGCGTGTGCCTTGTGCAGTAATGGATCTTTGAATCACTAAGAGTTTCCTGGGGATGGAAGAAATCACTTTGAGAGTTTTACAGAAAGTGAGCAGGGCAAAACTTTTGGAATTGGCAAACAAGCTGGAGTTGGGGTTACGTTTGTCTGCGCAAAAAGAGGAGGTAATTGCACCAACAGCTTGACATTTACGATTGCCAGAAATGCCATCGGAATCCTTGGAAATAGCTAAAATTCAATTGCAAATGAAGCAGCTTGAATATGAAAAGGAAAAGGAAACAGTTTTGAATTATGGTTGAAAGCAGAAGAAAGAGAGAAAGAGCAAGTTTTTGAACGTCAGACGTTGGAACTAAAAGTCAACTTAAAATGGCAGAGATAGAAATGAAAGGTAGGAGTAGCAATGAGGACAATGACGGAGAGCTATCCCATTGTAGCCAAAGGCCTAATGGGGATCTGTATAAATATGTCAGAGCGTTGCCCAAGTTCGACAAGAAGGACATGGAAGCCTTTTTCATTTAATTTGAGGAAGTGGCTAGACAAATGAAATGGCCGGTGACTATGTGAATATTGTTGATCCAAACAAAGTTGGTAGGTACAGCTAGTGAGGTATTTGCAACACTATCTGGGGAGTTTGAGCAGGTGGAAAAAGCCATTTTAAGTGCCTATGAGCTAATACCAGAAGGCTGCAGACAATGTTTTAGGAATCTAACAAAGGGACCTGGTCAAACATACATAGATTTTGAAAGGATCAAACAAAGTAATTTTGATAGGTGGATAAAGGCATTGAAAATAGGTCAAATATATGACGCTATTGGAGAGATGATTGTTTTGGTGGAGTTCGAAAATTCACTTCCTGAAGTAGTGAGAACACATGCAGAATATGCACTCTAGAAATGAATTACTGTGTGTTCTTGTCAAATTATATATGAATCTTAAAAAAAAAAGACACAATTCACCTCTTAAAGCCATAGTATTGTCGTGGGCCTTGATTTACTGTTCCATCGAAAGACTGCAGTTCTGACAGTGGAGCACTCTTTAGTACTGCACTGAAGTATCTATGTAGATTTTGTACCATGGGGTGAAACAACCCAGTTTTCTGAACCTACTATCTTTGTAACTTCAGTGAAAGTTCTATCACTAGGTTATGGCTTGAGATATTGGACTTTATTTTCAGGGGCTGAAGTTGTGCAAAGAGAGAAATCAGCATGAGTTTCCAATATTCTGAGTGCCTTGCTGGAACATTCATACGCATTGACACTGATTGTAGTTTAAAATAGAATCAGCTGTGTGAAATTCCCATAGTGAACTAGCCACTTAGTGAAGGGGGCCCTCTTGTGATGCAGTGGTATTGTCCCCAGCCCTAGACCAGGAGGCCAGGGTTCAAATCCCACCTACCTCAGGCACATGTAATGACAGCTCTGAGCAGGTTGATTAGGAAAATAGGTTAAAATATATTTTAAAAGGCCAATTAGTGAAGAAAGCAGCTGACACCCTCCAAAGAGTATCTGAAACTCGCCCCCAAGAGAAAAGTCCTGTCTGGGGAAGAAAACTAATTAATTTATCAATTAGGCACTCAAGTTGAATGTCAAGAAATGAAATACATCATCAGAAGTCTAATTTAAAATAAAACCTGTTGTGTTGTTTGCAGATGGGCCTCTGTGTGGAATGCAAGACAATGATCCCATTGAATACTCCAACATGTATTGTGTGTGAGGCCCTAATAACCCCTCAGCTAAAGCCTCAGGCCAGCATCCATCTCAAGGTACATAATATGACTAGTGTTTAGCATGTAGGAAATATTCACACAACACAAACTTTGCTGATTTTTCATGCAGGCCAAACAATCTAACTGATTTTAAGAAATGTATTCACTGGGTGTCGAATTTATCAGTCAAATGTCACTAACTTTAAAAAATTCAGGATGCTGTATAGCTGACCAACGTCTTTAATTAAGAGTCTAATGATGACCATGAATCCGTTGTCAATTGTTAGAAAAACCCATCTGGTTCATTAATGTCCTTTAGGGAAGAAAACTGCCATCCTTACTTGGTCTGGCCTGTATGTGACTCCAGACTCTCAATAATCTGGTTGACTCTTAACTGCCCTCTGGGTAATTAGAGATGGGCAACAAAAGCTAGCCTAGCCAGTGACACTTGCATCCAATGAAGGAATTAACAAAAACAAAATTTAGAAGTTCTTTTGGTGCTACCAATCAACGTCACCAGTACATCTGAGAAATAAATAAATTGTCATATTTCTAATATAACTTTTAAAAAATGTTGAGAGAAGGGGGAGAACTTTGCAAAATAGCATTGTTGCTGAGAGGTTTTTCTGGAGGTAATTTTGAACATCCATGGGGACAGAAATCGACAATATAACATTTTTCAATGTAGGTGTAACATGCAACCAATTCATGAACATTAAGCCCCCTACTCCTGCCTTGGGTGAAAATGAGATTGATTGGGCATTAATGTATTCTGATATATGCATTTTTAATTTAGGTATTGCTATTAAGTAATGCAGTGCTTTTTAAATAGGACAAGATTATCTGTCGATCTTGTGGGACAGGCAATCCAGCTAATATCCAGTATTGCCTTACCTGTGAGACCAGGCTGTCAGAATCACCGAAAGTAAGTCACTGTCACTGTGTTTAATGAGATTTATTGGATACAAATTGAGAAACCTCTGATTTTCCCTGCTAATTGTAGTACGGAGGGAGTGGTGAACCATCACTGCAGCTTTTTGAAAATGGTTTAAATCAATACTCCATTTGCCCTATGGGTCGAAAGAAAAGATCCTCTGGCACTATTTAAAGAATAGCGAGGGAGTCCTCTCCTGTGCCCTGTCGATATTTGCCCCTCAACCACCGTCATTAAACAGTCAGATTATCTGGCTGTTATCACATTGCTGTCTGTCATACACTATGGTGTACAAATTGAAACATAATTTATTATGCTGTAACAGTGACTAGGCATCAAAACTACTCATAGTCTGTAAAATGCTTTGGGCAGTCCAAATAAATATAAGTCTTCCTTTTTTTTTGTTTTCAAATTCAGCCAGGACCAATCTGACTGTCAGGTAGTAACACGGGCTGCACAAAAATCCTGTGAGTTTGTTATTGGAATTGCCAAGTTCAGGAAAGAACCACGGTTTAGCAAAGTAAGTAAGAACAGTTACAAGATAGAAGTTCACAGTGTTCCACCAGGCAGTGGTTGCCCAGGTGTGCCTTAAAGGTCTGTTAGAAATCACCCAGTTAGAGTCGTAGAGATGTACAGCATGGAAACAGGCCCTTTGGCCTATGCTGTCCAGTTTTTACAATTAAACTAGTCCCATTTGCCTGCATTTTGTTCATATCCTCCGTACTTATCCCATCCATGTACCTGTCTAAATGCTTCTTAAATGATGAAATTGTACTTGCTTCCACCACTACCTGTGGCAGCCTGTTCCAGACACTCGCCACCCTCTGTGTGAAAAAATTGCCCCCTGGACTCTCTTGTATCTCTCCCCTCTCACCTTAAACCTATGCTGTCTGGTTTTAGACTCCCCTACCATGGGGAAAAATTGTTGGCTGTCTACTTTATCTGTGTCTCTCATGACCTCATATACCTCCATAAGGTCACCCCTCAGTCTCCTATGCTCCAGGGGAAAAAGTCCCAGCCTATCCAACCTCTCCTCATAACTCAAACCTTCCAGGTCAGGTAGTGCCCTAGTAAATCTTTTCTGCACTCTTTCTAGTTTAATAATATCCTTTCTATAGTAGGGTGACCAGAACTGTACACAGTACTCCAAATGCGGCCTCACCAACATCTTGTACAGCTGCAACAAGACATCCCATCTCCATACTCCGTGCTCTGACCGAAGAAAGCAAGCATGCTGAAAGCCACCTTCACCGCCCTGTCTATCTGTCACTCCATTTTCAAGGAGCTATGAACCTGTACCCTAGATCTCTTTGTTCTATACATTACCCAGGGCCCTTCCATTTACTGTATAAGTCCTGCCCTTGTTTGTCTTTCCAAAATACAACACCTTGCATTTATCTAAATTAAACTCCATCCACCATTCTTCAGCCCAGTTCTTTGCACTTCCTGGCCGTACTGGGGGAAGGAGAGTTAATTATAACTGTGTTTTTAAAAATGTTTCCTGGACGAAATTATATTCTATTCTATAAGAGATCTTTTTGCTAGCCTTATTCTAGAACTTGCAAATCTTTGCCAGATAGCTTAAAAAGTTGTGCTTTTTGGAGCATCTCTCAATAATTTTGGGTCTAGGTCTTCTTGCAATAATTTAAAACTGATGATATGATTTCAGTAGTCCTTTTTACATCTTCAGTTAAAATCAGTGGAAATAGATGTAAATGGACTGCTGACTTGCTACCATTCTTTTTACACAATTGTGTAAGAATCCAAGTATTTTCATGACTTTCAGGGAAGGGAATCTGCCATCCTTACCCGGTCTGGCCTAACTCTCCAGACCCAGAGCAATGTGGTTAACTATTAACTGCTACTTGAAATGGCTTATCAAGCCATTCAATTCAAGGGCAACAAAGGATGGACAATAAATGCTGGCCTAGCTAGTGACACCCACATTCCATGGATAAAACAACATCAAAAAACCAGCAGAAGCTGCCAAGCAGCAGAGCAGGAGAGTGCATTGGTCGGTTGCAGGCAAGTCCAAAGTTCCAGTTGATTGTTTGATTGGTTGATTTATTGTCACATCTACCGAACTACAGTGAAAAGCTTTGTTTATGAGCGGTACAGGCAGATCACAGCAAGCAAAGGATGTACAAATCAAGAAGACTTAGAAGCATACAAGTTACGTTGCAGGTTACGTTTTGATAACGGCCGAAAAGAAGCTGTTCCTGAACCTGCTCGTGTGTGTTCAGGCTTTTGTATCTTCTGCCTGACAGAAGAGGTTGTAGGAGGTCGTTACCAGGGTGCAATGGGTCATTGATGATGTTGGCCACCTTTCCGCAGCAGCGATCCATGTAAATAGAGCCCGTGAATGGCTTCCGTGATGGTCTGGGCTGTGCAAACCACCTTCTGTAGTTTCTTACGGTTTCTTATGGTTCTGGACAGTTGCCATACCAGGCCATTATGCACCCAGACAGTATGCTTTCAATAGTAGTTGGTGAGGGTCCTTATGGACATGCCAAATTTCCTGAGCCACCTGAGGAAGAAGAGGCGTTGTTGTGCCTTCTTGACTGTCACATTTACGTGGGAAGTCCAGGGCAGGTCGTTAGTTATCGTCACACCAAGGAACTTAACACCCTCTACTCTTTCGACCACAGTTCCATTCATGTAGTCTCCTCAACATAGTAGAAACAACAACTTGTTTCAGGAGGTCAACTATTAGCAAATGAATCTTGCACTCTTCCCAGTGTAGTTTGATCGAATGCAGCTTGTAGCTGCAGTTGATGAATGATGGCCGCTAACATAATGCATTCTGTCATGTGGAGTAAGAGAATAAAATTAAATTGTCTCTATGAGCTACTTTGTAGATATTATTAAAAAGGATTGCTTAAATACAGAGTACATCATAAACTGAATGATGTGTCACTGAATTACCTGGTTATTGTGTAGCTGTTTAAAAAAACACCTATTGTTATTTGCATCTGCTATAACTTGTACCTAATGCAAATGAATTTTTAATTTAAAAAATGCATCAAGATCAGTTTTTTAATTTCATATTTAACAATGAAAATTAAGTTGTAGTGACCAGTGGGAAGGATGAAAATACTGCACGTCTGTAGGGGAAAAGCAGGACGGTGGGATTAAAAGAATACCTATGATACACAGGCACCATGTACCAAATGACCTGTACTGTGTATTCAATAATTTTAGGGCCTGAACACCTCCTTCCATTTCCTTACCCCATACCCCACACAACAGGACTTGTCATTGCGTGAGCTGCTACCACAAACAACTTATTGTCAACTACTAAAAATGCTCATTAGCAGCTATTCATTCTCCTATGCTGACCTTTACCTATTCCTTTGTCTGCCCAACTGTTCTGTCTCTCTCTGGGCTCCATTTCCACTTACTAATCATTCTATCCCCCTTCTCTAGCATTTATACCAACCTTTTCCTAGCTATACTCAGTTCTGAAGAAGGATCACTGGACCAGAAATGTTAACTCTGCTTTCTCTCCACAGATGCTGCCAGACTTGCTGAGGTTTTCCAGCAATTTCTGATTTCCAGTATCCACAGTTCTTTGTCTTTGTGTTTCACCACTGTGTGATTCCATGGACCTGAGAAAGTAACATAAAACTATCCATGTTATGGAACTAAGTTGGGGATTTCAGTTAGGTGCCACAATATGGATTGTACAAGAAACTGGCAAAGTTACAGTGATGACTTGACTCCAGTTGTTAGGGCATTACTGGGGAAGCATTCCTCTATGTTAATCTGTTCCCTACCTGGAAAATATTTGACAGATTTTGGTTTTCAGATGTAAAAAGATTTTTCATTCTTCAGCTCCAAAATTCCTCATTTCTAATAAATGCAAAACAAAAGTTGCCTCCAAATCAAAAAGTAAATTCCTCCAGCTTCATTTATGAGAGCACCATTCAGCCCTTTGATCCTGCTCTGTTATTCAATTAGGTTATCGCTGAGCTGTACCTTCAAGTTCATTTTCACTTGATACTTTTACTGAACTTCTATCAATCTCGGTCTTAAACTCCAATTATCCCAACATTCACAGCATTTTAAAAGGGAGAACCCCTCATTTCTTTTGTAATTTGCCTCAAAAGGGTTTTCTTATTTTCGTCCTAAAATGGCTTAACTCTAATGTTAAAGTTACATTCTCTTGGGTCTGAATTTCCCCATTAACCCTATTGTACCCTTTTCCCAATTTAAAATGCATTGCTTAGATCATCCTTCAACTTGTTACATTCAAGGGAGAAGAAGCTAAATTTACAAAACAATAATTTGAACAGGAGTAAAATAGATTTGTCCATTATTTCATGAGACGTTTTCTATTTCTTTCTGCATTGCACTAAAATCGTTTTAGAATTCGGATGTGAATTTTCCTTTTCCTTGTTTCTATAAAACAGTCTCATTTTAATGGAGATTTCCTTCCGCCATTACCAAGTCGTGAAGGAAAGATGCTGGCATGTTCCAAATGTGGCCGAGTTAACAACACTGATGCACGATACTGCGATTGGTGTGGAGCCAAGGTATGCAACAAAATAAAGCATTAAGCGATAGAGTTGGATGTCAGAAATTTATCACACTTTTAGTCCTTGTCCAAATACTTTTAGTCCTTGTCCAAATACTTTTAAATGGTTCAATACCAAAAGTTGACTGATAATGCCTCAATGAAGGTCCTAAAATAAACACAATATGGAAATGCAGGTTGTTGAAACAAGTGGAGGTGAATTGAAAGGATTTGCTCCAGGAAGATAGAAGGAAAGTAGATTGTGAGACAAAGTGGCAGATTATGTTGTGGACAGCTCATGTGCTCTATCCACTCCCTCTAATTCTGCTGATTTCTTAGCCTTGGTGCAAATTGAATTTATTCAGGTCCAATTGTAAGTTATTCTACTGCGTATAAGTTGGATGCAACAATCCGAAATTTGAGTTACTACAATACTGCATTTAGATTTTCAGTGATGCAGCCCAAAATTCCACGCGAAACAGGCCTGGATCTCATTAAAGTATTTATGTCTAAAGTCCTATGGTATCACTAAAAGCCCCAACGTCATTTTCACCATTGAAGCATCCTGTGGCACTGGACTTGTATTGGCCAAAAGCACTCTGAAACAACATTTCAAGGTGCTATTTGAAGCGGCAGTGCCTGCAAGTACTCAGCTTGTCAGGAATTCAGTGATTTTCATTTTCTTTTATTTTGGAGAAAGGGGAGCAACAGGATCATGGTATCTCAAGGAGCTGCAATTGGTCTCTGAGACCCACACATGAAGAGAAACCCTTATTCTGCCTATGAGGTTTCTAGGCTCGATATCTCTGAAGAGCATTGTGTCAAGAGGCAGTGCTTCTCTATGATACCATCACAGACCTATGGAGCTATTAACAAGACCTTCAATCTAGTCAGCTGATCCCATGTTACCCTTCTATTTTTTGCCTTAGATTTTTTCCTATTGCAGCAAGAGATTTGCCACTTTAGTCAGTGGCCATTCATTCCTGCTTCAAGCAGCTTTTTGGTATTTACTTTGCTCTTTGCCAATGTTTACCAATTTATGATGTTCCACGTCAATCCTGGAACACATTTCTTAACAGCACTGTGGGTGTATCTACTTCGCTTGAACTTCAGAGGTTCAAGTAGGCAGCTCATCGCCACTTTCCCCAGAGTAAAACGGGATGGGCAATAAGTACAGCCCTTAACAGCAAGGCTGACCTCCCACAAACAATTTTATTAAGAAACCAATGCCAGAGTCCAGCGGCAAAGGACTATAGGTTTTTCTACTAATGTAATCTTCCCCCAAGCTCAGGCTGAGATTAGTTGGATCTATAAACCTCTGAATCAGCTAGCATCCTTTTATGGAAACAAAATGTTTCTTCTCCCTTGAATTTCAACTAGTGAGTGCTTCTTGTCCTCTTTACTGGAAAGCAGTCATGGTACCAACATACTGTGCCAATCAGCATCACCTCCAACCACTCACTCCTTTAGCTCAGTACAATCAAAACTGGGACCTTGGGTCAAAGACAATATAGTTTACTCCTGACCCATGTTAGCACAATCCACATCATTCCTCTATGTTAATCTGTTCCCTACCTGAACTGAAAATATTTGGCAGATTTTGAGCTTCAGATATCAAAAGATTTTTCAATCTTCAGCTCTAAAATGTCTTGCCTTTAATAAACGCAAAACAAGAGTGGCCCCAAATCAAAAAGTAAATTCCTCCAGCTTCATTTCTGCTATTCAGTTAGATCATTGGCTGAGCTGTACCTTCAAATCCCCATTTTCACTTGGTACCTTTACAAAACTTCTATCAATCTCAGTCTTAAACTCCAATTATCCCAGCATTCACAGCATTTTGGGAGAGAGAACTCCACATTTCTGTTGTCATTTGCCTGAAAAGGTTTGTCTTATTTTCCTCCTAAATGGCTTAGCTCTAATGTTAAAGTTACATTCTCTTGGATGTGAATTTTCCCATCAGAGGAAGTAGTATTTCTGCATCAACCCTATTGTACCATTTTCCCAACTTAAAATACCTTACTTAGATCATCCTTCAGCTTCTCAAATACAAGGGAGAAGAAGCTAAACTTTAAGGTTTCATCTCCTTTAAATTTCAACTAGGGAGTGCTTCTTGTCCTCTTTACTGGAAAGCAGTCATGGTACCAACATACCGTGCTAATCAGCATCACCTCCAACCACTCACTCCTTTAGCTCAGTACATTCAAAGCTGGGTCCATGGGTCAAAGCCAATGTAGTTTACCCCTGCCCCATGTTAGCACGATCCACGCCATTTTCACCAGCTGAACATGGATACAACCAGAATGATGGGGTCATTGGAGCTATGATAGAACACACCAATGGGCATCTCAAACAAGATTTTCATAGCCTGGAATTTTTTGAGAGTGGCTGCTTTATTAGCTCCTGAGTGTCTAGCTGCAGGTGTTCTTAGAAATTGCCACTGCACCTCGGTAGATTACTGTTTGCTGATGTCCTATAATAGAATAAAATATATGTGAGAAATCCAAACTTTCATGCTCTCAAATGTAGTTTTGTACCTCGTGCTTGTACTTCTTTGATGTGGATAAAGCAATTTTCCTTTATAGGTTGGACTCACAGTATTGCTCTGTGTGATCTCCTCCACGTAGCTTGGGGCCGAGCTTTCTCCTTTGTTGTCCTTTCTTTTGGTTCTGTGTTACATAGAACATAGAACAGTACAGCACAGTACAGGCCCTTTGGCCCACGATGTTGTGCCGACCTATTATCCTACTCAGATCAATCTACCCTGCATACCCTACATTTTACTATCCTCCATATGCCTATCCAAGAGTCGCTTAAAAGTCTCTAAAGTATCTGACTCCACTACCACTGCCAGCAGCGCATTCCACACGCCCACCACTCTCTGTGTGAAGAACCTACCTCTGACATCTCCTCTATACCTTCCTCCAATCACCTTAAAATTATGCCCCCTCGTAATAGTCATTTCCGCCCTGGGAAAAAGTCTCTGACTATCCACTCTATCTATGCCTCTCATCATCTTGTAAACCTCTATCAAGTCACCTTTCATCCTTCTTCACTCCAATGAAAAAAGCCCTAGCTCCCTCAACCTTTCCTCATACGACCTGCCCTCCAGTCAAGGTAGCATCCTGGTAAATGTCCTCTGCACCCTATCTACAGCTTTCACATCTTACCTATAAATTAGGTGACCAGAACTGAACACAATATTCCAAGTGTGGTCTAACCAGAGTTTTATAGAGCTGCCGCATAACCTCATGGCTCTTAAACTCAATTCCCCTGCCAATGAAAGCCAACACACCATACGCCTTCTTTACAACCCTATCAACTTGGGTAGCAACTTTGAGGGATCTATGGACGTGGACCCCAAGATCCCTCTGTTCCTCCACACTGCCGAGAATCCTGCCATTAACCCTGTATTCTGCATTCAAATTTGACCTTCCAAAATGAATCACTTCACACTTTTCTGGGTTGAATTCCATCTGCCACTTCTTTGCCCAGCGCTGCATCCTGTCAATGTCCCGTTGCAACCTACAACAGCCCTCCACGTTGTCCACAACTACACCAACCTTCGTGTCATCGGCAAACTTACTAACCCATCCTTCCCCTTCCTCATCCAAGTCATTTATAAAGATCACAAAGAGCAGAGGTCCCAGAACAAATCCCTGCGGAACACCACTGGTCACTGAGCTCCAGGCTGAATACTTTCCATATCCTACCACCCTCTGTCTTCTATTGGACAGCCAGTTTTGTATCCAGACAGCCAAATTTCCCTGAATCCCATGCCTCCTTACTTTCTGAATGAGCCTACCATGTGGAACCTTATTGAATGCCTTGCTAAAATCCACATACACTACATCCACTGCTCTACCTTCATCGATGTGTCTTGTCACATCCTCAAAGAATTCAATAAGGCTTGTGAGGCATGACCTGCCCCTCACAAAGCCATGCTATTTCTAATCAAACTGTGCCTTTCCAAATAATCATAAATACTATCTCTCAGAATCCTCTCCAATAATTTGCCCACCGCAGAAGTAAGACTGACTGGTCTGTAATTTCCAGGATTCTCCCTATTCCCTTTCTTGAACAAGGGAATGACATTTGCCAGCCTCCAATCTTCTGGTACAATTCCAATGGACAGTGAGGACGCAAAGATCATTGCCAAAGGGGCAGCAATCTCTTCCCTTGCTTCCCATCTGGCCCAGGGGACTTATCTATCCTCATGTTTTTCAAAATTTCTAGCACATCCTCCTTCCTAAATCAACCTGTTTGAGCACGTCTGCCTGTTTCATGCTGTCCTCATAAAAGTCAAGGTCCCTCTCAGGTGAATACTGAAGCAAAGTATTCATTAAGGACCTCCCCTATCTCCTCTGACTCCACACACAAGTTCCCTCCACTATCCCTGATTGGCCCTACCCTCACTCTGGCCATCCTCTTGTTCCTCACGTAAGTATAGAAATCCTTGGGGTTTTCCTTGATCCTACCCGCCAAGGTTTTCTCATACCCCCTTCTCGCTCTCCTAAGTCCATTCTTCAGTTCCTTCCTGGCTACCTTGTAGACCTGTAGATCTGTCTGATCCTTGCTTCCTCAACCTTAAGTAAGTTTCCTTCTTCCTCTTGAACTGGGTGTTCAACATGTCTTGTCATCTAAGGTTCCTTCACTTTACCATCCTTTCCTTGCCTCAGTGGGACAAACCTATCCAGTACTTGTAGCGACTGCTCCCTAAACAACCTCCACATTTCTATCGTGCATTTCCCTGAGAACATCTGATCCCAATTGGTGCTCCGTAGTTCTTGCTTAATAGCATTGTAATTCCCCCTCCCCCAATTAAATACCTTCCCATACCGTCTGCTCCTATCCCTCTCCACGACTGTGGTAAAGGTCAGGGAGTTGTGGTCACTATCACCGAAATGCTCTCCCACCGAGAGATCTGACACCTGACCCGGTTTGTTGCCAAGCCCAAATCCAATATGGCCTCCCCTCTAGTTGAATCAGAAATCCTTCCTGGACGCACGTGACAAAATCTGCTCCATCCAAACTATTTGCACTTAGGAGGTTCCAGTCTATATTAGGGAAGTTGAAGTCACCCATAACAACAACCCTATTACTTCTACACCTTTCCAAAATCTGTCTCCCAATCTGTTCCTCAGTGTCTCTGTTGCTATTGGGGGTTCTATAGAAAACTCCCAATAAAGTGACTGCTCCTTTCCTGTTTCTGACTTCCACCCATTCTGATTCAGTGGAGAAACCCTCCTCCACAACCTCCCTTTCTGCAGCTGTGATACCATTCCTGATTAGCAATGCCACTCCCCCACCTCTTTTATCTCCCTCCCTATTTCTTTTGAAACATCTATACCCAGGAACATCCAACAACCATTCCTGCCCCTGTGTTATCCAAGTCTCCGTAATGGCCACAACATCGTAGTTCCAAGTACTGATCCATGCTCTAAGTTCGTCACCCCTATTCCTGACACTTCTTGCGTTGAGGTAGACACACCTCAACCCGTCGCACTGACTGCCACTTTGCCCTATCAACTGCTTTTCCTTCCTCATAGATTCTCTGCTTGCTCTATCTGTCTGTACACTGGCTACCCCATCCTCTGATCTGTAGCTCCGGTTCCCATCCCCCTGCCAAATTGTTTAAACCCTCCCGAAGAGCTCTAGCAAACCTCCGCCCAGGATGTTGGTGCCCCTCCAGTTCAAGTGCAACCTGTCCTTCCTGTACAGGTCCCACATTCCCCAGAAGGTATCCCAATGATCCACAAACCTGAAGCCCTCCCTCCTACACTAGCTCTGTAGCCATGTATTCAGCTGCGCTCTCTCTCTGTTTCTAGCCTCACTAGCCCGTGGCACCGATAGTAATCCTGAGATTACTACTCTACTTGTCCTGGCTTTCAGCTTCCATCCTAACTCCCTATAATCACTTTTCAGGTCCTCATCCCATTTCCTAGCTATGTCATTGGTACCGATGTGTACCACGACTTCTGGCTGCTCTCCCTCCCCCTTAAGAATCCTGAAGACCCGATCCAAGACATCCCTGATTTGATCCGAGACATCTCTGACCCTGGCACCCGGGACGCAACATACCATCCGGGAGTCTCGCTCGGTACCACAGAATCTCCTGTCTGTTCCCCTAACCAGTGAATCTCCTATCACTATCGCTTTCCTATTCTCCCCGCTTCCCTTCTGAGCCACAGAGCCAGGCTCAGTGCCAGAGACCTGGCCGCTATGGCTTTCCCCTGATAGAGCATCCCCCCCAACAGTATCCAAAACAGTATACTTATTATTGAGAGGAACAGCCACAGGGGATCCCTGCACTGTTTGCCTATTCCCTTTCCCCCTCCTGACAGTCACCCAGCTACCTTTGTCCTGTACCTTGGGTATGACCATCTCCTCAGCCTCTCGAATGATCCAGAGTTCATCCAGCTCCAACTCCAGTTTCCTAACGCGGTCTATGAGGAGCTGGAGTTGGGTGCACTTCTCGCAGTTGAAGTCAGAAGGGACACGAGTAGTGACTCTTACCTCCCACACCCTACAAGAGGAGCATGCAACTGCCCTAGCTTCCTTTCCCTCTACTCTAGACTGCCAAAAGAATAAAGAATAAAGAAAAAGAAAAATCCTTACCTTACCGACCCTTCATACAGTCTTCTTTTTTGGTTAGAGGAGGAGGATGGGTGGGAGACACTACACGTGTAGTGTTTCGGGTTTAGACAATGCCCAAATATAAAAGTTCACTTCTCGGCTCGCGCTCTCTCCACTCCCGCCACTCGAATCAAGTAGGCCGCTGACTCACGAAATAAGTTTTTATAAGCAAAATCCTTACCTTCCTGGCTGTCCCCTGGCTCGCGCTATCTTCACTCCTGCCGCTCGAATCAATCTTCTGTGATTCATTGGCACAGACCCCTTTAAGTTGCTTTTATTTATGTGCTGGTATTTCTTCAAGTCGACTGTCATTTCCGCAAGTCATATTCTGTGGGCTCCAGGTCAATAGCTATATATAGAAACTGGAGAGTGCGACAAAGTCAACATGGCATGGATGGGAGTAGACGATTGACAACATTATGGAATACTAGATTGTTGCACTACCCGATTATGTAATTACTTCTAGAAAGAGAAAAGGCAAGAGTAATGGGCAGATATCTTGCTAAGTGTATCATCACTGATACTCCATCACTTACCTGTTGCAATGCTTGCTAAACTGAGGACATTAGGCAGTTCAGTTACACTGCTTGAAGACTGCACCAGGAAAATTTTTCCTGTCAAGTTCATATGCTTTATGAACATTTTCCAGATGTAGTTAAATGTTTAACATTTTTTGAATTTCTTTACACTGTGTATCCTTTCTGATTCTTCCTCATTTTCCTGTTCCAGAGGTTAATTCTTTGGTCAAAGAAGCTTAGCCAGGACGCTTGGTTGAAGCATTACTTCAAATGATTTGGGCAGTTAGGCTACAAATGTGTTAGATTATCCAAATGCTTTCTCCTGTTATGGGCAATTTTGAGCTTACAAAAATACACAGATGTGGAGGTGTCAGTGTTGGACTGGATTGGACAAGGTCAGAAATCACATGACACCAGGCCAACAGGTTCATTTGAAAACACAAGCTTTTGGAGCGTAGCCCCTTGGTCAGAAAATGCTGGTTACTGTCAGCAGGTCAATCAACATCTGTGGAAGGAGCACATGTGATTATGCTTGTGAATTCAAGCTCAACATGACTGCTGGTGCTTATGCTACGGAAGCCCAGAATGTCCAAGAAATTGATCTGAATGCTTCCAGCCCTGACAATATGCTCCTGAAGTAAGTGCACTATTGCTGGTGTGCATTTGGTGCCTTGATTACATTCTCTGGTTGCCGTAAAATATCTAAAGGCACAATTTCAGAAGAAAAAGGAAAGGACAATCCCTGATTTTCTGGTCAAAATTAATCTTCCAACCATCATATCTTGTTTTTAGAGCTATGGTATGTGCAAATCAGCTGCAATGTTTCCTACATTGTAATATTGACTACAACTCTCAAACTGTTTCATTGAATGTGAAGTGTTTTGAGATGTTATGAGGACATGAAAGATACTAAATAAATGCTCTTGTTTATTTTGTTATAGCCTGGTGCTCCTATGAGCTACCTCAGCTGCTCAAAGTGTGGGGCAACTAACCATCCATATGCTCGTTTCTGTGGATGTTGCGGTGTTTACCTGAAACCCCCTATGAGGATGGATTCTCATGATGGCACATTTCTTGGTTCTGGCCAATCCACAGTTCTGGCAGAGGTAGGTCCTATTCAGTCATCCTCACCATCAAATTCCTGCACTTCTTTCTGACTCATTTGAAGCCCGAAACTAACTCCACCCCCATATAACTTTCACTCGTAGGTTCGATAGCCCTGCAAGATTGCTTTGCAGTCTTCAAATAAGCTTTAACCTCCAGAATCATTCTGAAAGCAACCAGGGAAACAAAAGTCATGAATGTATTATGTTATAAAAGAAAGTGTTCTTTTCACTGTCTTTGAAATCTCTTGCTTATACCAAGCTAAACATCAAAAGTTCAGCAGGGAAGAAGAAAAAAGATGAAATGGAACTAGCAGCTATCATAAAAGGAAATTCAAAAGACATCTACGGCATTTCAAAAAGGTAGAAAAAGGAGTAGGGCTGATTAGATACCAAAGAGGGATTTGAACATGGAGGCAGTGGGCATGATTAAAACAATAAATGAGTATATTGCAACAAAACCAGAAAAAACCTGGAAAAATTCAACAGGTCTGGCTGCTTCTTTAGAGAGAAAGCAGAGTCAATGTTTCAGGTTCAATGACTTCATCAGAACACCACTGGAAAGTGTCACTGGACCCGAAACATTGACTCTGCTTTCTCTCTACAGGTGCTGCTAGACCTACTGAATTACCCCAGCTATTTCTAGTTTTATTTCAGTTTTCTAGCATCTGCAGTTTTGTTGTTTAAATTTAATGTGTACATTGCGTTTGTCTTTGCTAAGGAAGATGGTCCTGCCAAAGTCATAGTGAAACAGGATGTAGTTGTGATATTGGATGCATTAAAAATTGACAAAAAGGAGATATTAGACTGCCTGTATGTAAAGTTGGTCAGTCACCCGGACTGGACACAGATGTGTCCAAGGATACTGAGAGAAGTAAGGGTGGAAATTGCAGAGGCATTGGCCTTCGTCTTCCAATCCTTGGATGCAGGACTGGTACAAAAGTATTAGAGAATTACAAACGTTAAATTCTTATTCAAAAGAAGATAGAAGAATAAGCCAAGCAACTACAATGCTGTTGTTTTAACCTTGGTGGTGGGAATGTTTTTAGAAACTGTAATCCCGGACGAAGTTGAGAATAGATATCGTGGATTTTTAAGGGAAAGTAGTGTTAAATAACTTATTTGGGTTTTAGGTGACTGAAAAAACAAAGAACAGCATAGCAAAGGAACAGTGCATTCTGCCTACTAAAATTGCACCGACACAGAATGCCTTTCTAAATTAAAAATCTTTTGCCCCTATGCGGTTCAGTATCCTCCATTCCCTGCCTATTCATATATCTGTTAAGATACCTCTTAAACATTGCTGTTGTATACGCCTCCACCACCTCTTCTGGCAGCGCATTCTAGGCAATTACGACCCTCTATGTTTAAAAAAAAAATTGTCTCTTGTATCTTCTTTAAGCCCACCCCCTTTATCTTAAACTTGTGTCCCCTAGGAATTGACATTTCTAACTTGGGAAAAGACTCCATGCCTCTTATAATTTTGTAAACTTCCATCAGATCACTCCTCATCCTTTGACATTCAAGAAAAAACAAACCAAGTGTGCTCAAACACTCCTCATAGCTAATACTCTCCGAACCAGGCAATATATTGGTAAACTGTTTCTGTACCCTCTCTAAAGTCTCTAGATCCTTCCAGTAGTGTGGCAACCAGAATTGTATGCAATATTTCAAACGTGGCCTCACTAAAGTTTTATACAGCTGCAACATTACTTGCAAATTTTTATACTTTTATGCTCTAACCAATGAAGGCAAGCATGCCATATGCCTTCGTGGTCACTTTATCCACTTGTGTTGCCGCTTTCAAAGAACTGTGGACCTGTATGCCAGATCCTTCTGTATGTTGATGCCATCAGGGTTCTGCCATTTACTGTATATTCCCATCCTGCATTAGAGCTTCCAAAATGTATCACTATGCATTTATCCAGATTTAATGTCATCTGTCATTTCTCCGACCAAGTTTCCAGCCTATCCAAATCTGACTGTATCCTCTGGCAATCCTCCTCATTGGCCACAACTCCCCCAATTTTTATGTTGTCAACAAACTTACTAGTCAGGTCACCAACATGCTCCTCCAAATCATTTACATAAGTTTAAAAACAGCAGGGGTCCCAGGACTGATCCCTATGGAATACCACTGGTTACATATCTCCAGTCAGAAAAATACCATTCCACCACTACTGTCTGTCTTCTATGACTAAGCCAGTCCTGTATCTATCTTAATAGCTCACCGCAAATCCCATATGACTCCACCTTCTTTATCAATCTGCCATGAAGAACCATGTCAAATGCCTTTCTAAAGTCCATATAGACAACATCTACCACCCTGCTCTCATCAATCATCTATGTTACTTCTCAAAAAAAATCAATCAAGTTTGTGAGACATAACTTTTCCTTGCTTAAAGCCATGCTGCCTATCGCTAATAAGCCCAAATCTTTCCAAATGTGAGTAAATCCTATCCCAATGAATCTTCTCCAATAATTTCCTTACCACTGACGTAAGGCTCACCAGCCTGTAATTTCCTGGAATATCCCTGCTGTCCTTCTTAAACAAACTAACAACGTTGGATATTCTTCAGTCCTTTGAAACCTTTCCTTTGAATAAAGAGGATACAAAAGGTAAGCTAACAGAGACAATTGCTGAGGGTAATGTGTTTGATGCATTGTACATGGTCTTCCAAAATGCAGTTGATAATGTACCATGTAACAGACTTGTTGGCAAAGTCGAAGCCTAAGGAACAGTGGTACAATGGATATTCTTTTGGTTGAGTGGCAGGAATTTTTTTTTGGACTGGAGGAAGGTAAATAATAGGGATCCCCAGGAGTTAGATATTGGAACTATTTTTCTTGATATATTTTAAGAATAATGACCATGTGTGTGGAAGGCACAATTTTAAAATTTTCAAGATAATACAAAACTTGGACATACTGTGAACTGTGAGGAGGATTCAAAAGGACATAAACGAGCTGTTGGACTTGGCAGACATGTAGTAGATTAAATTTAATGCAAAAAGTGCAAGGTGATGCATTCTGTCTGGTTCATACTGTTGGTTGTAGTGATCTTTGCTCTCAGTTAGAAACTTCTTGGATTGAGTCTCACTTCAGAGATTTTAGCACAAAATCTAAGCTGACAGTGTAATATTAAACCATAAGATAGGAGCAGCTCATCAAGTCTGCTCTGCTGATCATAGCTGATCTGATAATCCTCAACTCCACTTTCCTGCCTTTGCCCCATAAGCCTTGATTCCCTTACTGATTAAAAATCTATCTCAGCATTGAATATACTTAATGACCCATGTTCAACAGCTCTCTGCATTAAAGAATTATACAGATTGACAACCCTTTGAGAGATGAAATTCCCCCTTATTTGTGTCTTAAATGTGTGATTTCTTATTCTGAGCTTATGCCCTTTGGTCCTCCCACAAGGGGAAATAACTTTTTCATATCTACCCTGTCAAGTCCTCTAAAGATTGAGGAAACCCTTTTTAGTGTTAGAGATACTGTTGCTTGGGATGAGATATTAAATCAAGGTGCTATCTGCCCACTAAAGTGAGTGTAAAAGCTACTACAGAACTTTTCAAAAAAGCACTGAATTTCTCCTCAGTGTCTTAGCCAACATCAATATCTTGATGTATATCACTAAAACAGATTTTGTGGTTATTATCTCATTTCTTGTAGCTGGCACTTCTGATGTGTCAATTGGCTGTGCACAACCTACATTTCAGCAGTGGCTGCACTTCAAAAATATGCTTAATTAACTGTAAATTAGGACATCCTGAGTTCATGAAATGCACTATGGAAAAACAAAAAATTCTTTTCTCCACCTGCAGGAGGGCATGGCTGAATTTTGTTTAGCAATTATTTCACATGGTCTGCTAGTAGTTATACAAAAATAGTGTCCTTTTTATATGCCTTGCTGCGCAACATGCAAATATTAAATTGACTTAAAACTTGGCTGTTGGGTTTAACATACAGGTACCGATTATAAAAAGCTTTCAATTCTGGAAAAAAAAATATAGTTTGAACACAGTTGTACAGTGCAATTGATAATTTCTATTTCATGCCACACGATGGCAGACTGTTCCCTTTTTAAAAAATGGTTATTATTTTCAGAGCATTAGTAACAGTAGCTACGTATGATGCTAAACCAGTATCGGGCCTAAGTTGAGTTGTTTGTTTTTCTACCCTGTGCTATTTAACTGTCTGTAAAACAGACTTCGAATATGAGACTTTACAATCATATTGTTCATTGAACAAATCAGTGAATTATTGTTTGTAGCAGTTCATGTTTAGTTTCTTGTTGGCCGTATACGAGGAGGATGACTTAATTGAAGAAAGATCAGAGAAAATTTCACAAACAGTGGAAATATATTAAATCATATAAGTATGCAACTGATCAGTTAGTATCTGAACAGCAAAGTTTTTTTTTTAGAAAGCATCTTTTCTCAGAATGTATTAGTTTCTCTTCCTGGTCTTGTTGCACTTGATCAGAAAAGATAGAGGCATAAAAGATGCACCAGCAACAACTTTCATTTCTTTCACTTTTTTGCATTTGTTTTTAATTGGCCAAGTAGGCTTGCCTCATGAAATAATTTTAGGAAAAGTACTGCAAGTGGACGAATGCTGTATTAGTGCAAGCTCCAAAAACTTCTCACATTGCATAGAACTTACAGCACCAAAAAGAGTCAGTCAATCCAACTTATCCATGCCAGCGTTTGTGCTCCATTCTGCCTTCCTCCCACCACTTCATTTCACTTACTGGCATCAGTTAATGCTCCATAATAAGCAACTCATTGGATGAATTGAGTTATTAAGAGTCACACTCATTTTGGCATAACTGCTTTGGGGCACATTATGCTTTTGTACAGCAGCAATGCATCCAATTTTTCTCTTATGTTTATCTATTTTAGGGTTTGACATTTTTGGAAGCATAAATCTCAGTCCTAAGTTTTACTGCTAAGCTTTAATTATAAAGTTCAGCAGTGTTGGAGGGATCTGGGGGTAGTTGGATTAGGTGGTGTAAGATGATACACTGTCAGCAGATGGCTGTACAGTTTGTCTCATCCAAAAACACAATTTGTTTAAAAAGCAACCATGACTTCTATCTGTGTATTTATCTTTTGATACTGCAAACATGGAAAGTTCAATTATGTGAATACTGGCATAATGTTGCCTCTAATCATTGTAATGAGCTTTTACCTGTATCCACCTTGATTAATATTTGTTAAAAGCTTTTTAACCACCTAAATACAGAACCTGCTTACAATCCAACTTCCATTTAATCTTTCACCTTTGGAATCCATGATACACTTATCTCAAAGTCCATTAACGTCAGGTTTAAATTGCCTTGAGTTTTGAATGTGTTATCATCAGTGCTTCCACATGTTTTATATAGCATTCCAGTTGTATGTCTAGTACAGTCTAAAGTCTAATGTTATTAGTTAAGCCATGCCTTTGTCAAAGTTGATTTTGAAATTAACTTGACTGAACAGCAAATTTGGTGCAATAAGAGTGGTTATAATGTGTGGCACTGAAGCAGTGTAGTTTTATTAGGTTGACAAAGGCAATGTTAGGTGTGATCCTTTATCAATTAACACCCTTGGCTCTGAATCAGAAGGTTGTGAGTTCAAGTCTGTTTTCAAGGAGTTAAGTGCAGACCAGTGAAGGAGTGCTGTACTGTTGGAGGTGCTGTCTTCTAAGCAAGATGTTAGTCTGAAGCCTAGTCTGCACTATTCATTAGACATAAAATATCTCAAAACACTGTTCAGGAGAGAGCAGGTTCTTCTTAGTGTACAATCACTCAATGTATATCATTAAAGAATAGATCATCTCGTCATTATCAGCAAATAACCGTCACCTTTCCTGGATTACAACAATTGTAAAGCAAATTGCAATCTTGTGAAAGGTGCTGTAGAAATACAAGTTTTTTTTTTCTAACTGTGTTATCCGCTCTATTAAAATAGCTTGAACAAGAACTCAGAAGAACATATTAAAGTTGTCCTGTAGTTGTAATTTCTGTCATCGTTACAAACCCCTAAAGACTTGATTGTTCAAGATATCATCTCACTTTTATTATATTTTTTTGCCCTGAAGACCACAGATCTGATTTCTTCTCCAACCTGGCAACCTTTGACCATCCCACTACTGAGGTTTGGGTTGGAATCTAAGAAGGACCAAGGCACCCAAACAGTTGGTCTTTTTTACCCATCCTGCAAGATGCTAGAGAAGAAGGAGATGGAAGTCGTAATTCAACAAGAAAAACAGCAGAAGATGACCGATCGGCGTCCCCTTCTAACAGCCATCAGCCCTGGAAGGGGTGCGTAACGTTGCTTATATGCTTGAAATCCAGACACTTCTAGGATACACCATCCAGTATAAGCAGGCCCTACTGAACATGGTACAGTTCTGTCATGTCCAGTAACAATCACTGAGTCACCATAGGTGTGGCTACAATAACACTGTTTTAGCTACGTTGCACTCATTTTAGCTTAAAAGGTCTTGTTTACATGTACACAGCACAGGTAAATGTACTTTGTGTGTTTACTTACTGAACAAACATCTGAGACATTTAAGTAACCAAGACAGTAAAGAGCTCTCAGTGATCAAAAGTAATTGCCTACTTTGCTTTTCAGCTCATTATTTTTCCACAATGCAGAAAAAATTGTTAAAGTTTACGAGCATGCGCAGTAGCCAGCACTGTCTATTGTGCATTTTTATAACTAATCAGAAATGCACCTAGCCACATACTTTCCAGTTAGCCACATGTGGCTTTACTATAAGCCATGTGTAGCTAATGGCTAATGTATTTAGCAACACAGCACTGCTTTTTCACCGTTTCTGCTCCACTGATGCAAAGGTATTGCTAAGAAGAGACACTAAGCTTGTGAAATTCTAATAACCAAACTTAGTGGAATTACGGTACAGCAAACAGTGTTAATTGCAATTACTGTGTGACTAAGACTGGATGACCTCCACTAAATCTTGAATTCAAATGGGGTGATGTTTAAAACAGGGTGATTATCTCTCCACTGCAGAGCAACTAAATTCTATCTTAGTGAATGATTCTGGACTAGATCACTGGGAAGAACAGGTACTATTGTGAATTATTCTTGCTTTAATCACATTTGGAGGGGGTGGGGGAAGTACTACTGGTGCATGGATCTTGATCTGAAACAGATTGGTGGAATAAGATACTACTATGAATGGGGAGGGAAAAGGAAGAATCATTTGACTGGAAATATTAACAGTTTCTCTTTTCACAGATGCTGCCAGCCAGCTTGAGTTTTGCCAGCATTTTCTGATTTTATTTCAGATTCCACAGTATTTTGTTTTTATCTTGTGGTAAATGTGTCCTAGTCTTGATCATTTTGGTTGGGAGGAATTCCAATGAAACCTGATCTGATCAGTTTGGAAGGGTGAAGTATTAATGATGACTAGAATCTCATCTGGATTCCTCAATAAGGGAGGTACTCCTGGTGAACAATTGTTGGTGTAGACTATTTTCATAGAAACATCAAAAATAGGAGCAGGGTAGGGCATCATGCTCTTCGAGTCTTCTCCACCATTCATTATGATCAAAGCTGGTAGTCCAACTCAACAGGTTAGTCTTGTTTCTTTCTCCATATCTTTTGATTTCTTTAGCTCCAAATGCTATATCCAACTCCTTGAAATCATACAATGTTTTGGAGTTGACTGCTTTCTGTGGTCACAAATTCTGCAGGCTCACCACTCTCTGGGTGTAGAAATTTCCCTCATCTCAGTCCTCATGACCTACTCTCCATTCTTAGACTGTGACCCCTGGTTCTGGACTCCTTCGCCATTTGGAATATTCTTCCTCTATCTACCCTGTATAGTCCTGTTAGAATTTTATAAGTTTCTGAGATCTCCCCTCATTCTTCTAAACTCCAGCAAATACAGTCCTTACTGATTCAACCTCTTCTCATGGAGATTTCAAGGAGTAAAATATTACTGTGGTTGGAACCTGATCTAATTCACTTTGGTAGGATGAGGTGTGCCGTGGATTACCTCTTCAAGTTGACATTCTATGAGAAGTGGGCATGACTTGGATTGCCCTGTTAAGGTTTTCTAAACTGGATAACTTTGGGTGCGATTCAGATAATGAATACGTGCTGGCCCAAGATCACTTAGGTAGGGTGAGACGGTACTGACAAATGAGTCTTCTCCATGTCTATTTTTGAGTGAATTTCATAATAGACAATAAGCATATGATGAGGATCTCCACCATCAGATTTTTAAAAATGTCAAACACTGCTGCTTGGAAGGTATTTATTGTTTCTGCAGCAAAAATGATGACAGATGTGCTTTCAGAAGGAAGTGACATTTGAGATCTATGGGTTTATTGTTCAAGTGCATAAGATAAATAATATTAGGAACTCAGATCTACATTACACATAAAATAAGATATGACATAGACCATTCAGTCTCTAAAGTTCTGTCTTGGCAGATTTTTGTATTAATGCTGTTTATCCACTTTTTTTCATGTCCCTTAATGCCCATGTAAATACCAAGTCTGATCTTTCCCTTATTTGAGGTAACTGGAAAAGTGAAAACCACGCCTCGCAAAAATATTACAATATTATTACTTTGACTTCTGCCTTTTTTTTTTGGTAAATCTGTGATTCAGAGAACTGATCAGTTAGTAACACTATTTATAATCTCTCTAGTAGCTGTCCATGATAGAAAAGAACACTTGTCATTTATATAGCACCTTTTACAGTCTGAGGATATACCTAGGAGATTTGCAGCCAATAAAGGTTGTATTTTTGACAGTGTATGTTAAGCTTTTTGCAGCCAATTGGTGAAGGGAGAGACCAGAAATCAATCTTTGCTTACTTTTAGATTTATTCACAAAGTGAGAAATTGAAAAGTAAAGTTCCTAACTCTTAAAAACACACCGCCAGAGTCAGTAAGTATCTTTATTATTGTAATCAATTTTTTAAAAAGTTATCAACCCCTTAAAGGGCACTTTCACATTATTGCAACAAAATGGGGTCTATAGGAGAAAGTTATTAAGTTAAAAGAAACATTTCCAGAGTTAATGGTGCACACCAACCCCTGCAATACTCTGGTTGTGGAAGGACTCAAGTGCACTGGTCGACATCACATGCTTCATTTATTTTCCAATTGATTGATTTGATGTATTGTCACATATACCAAAGTACGTGGAAAAGCTTTATTTGCAAGCAGTGCAAGCAGATCATAGTAAGCAAGGACATACGGAACATAGGAAGCAAGGACATACGGATCATAGGGTGAAAAATACTTGGACAGAGTGAGGCATACAAGTTACACCACATGGGACGTGCACGAGGCAAGATCCGCATTAACAAGATCAACATTGTTTGAAGTTAGAGAATCTGTTCATCAGTCTAATAACGGCAGGGAAGAAGCTGTTCTTAAACCTGCTGGTGCATGTATTCGAGCTTCTGTATCTTCTATTTGATGGAAGAGGTTGTGGGAGAGCATTATCACAGTGAGATAGGTCTTTGATGATGTTGGCAGCCTTTCCATGACAACAAGAGATGTAAATGGAGTCCATGGATGGGAGGTTAGCTTCCATGATAGTCTGGGCTGTGCACACAACTTTCTGTAGTTTCTTACGATCCTGGGCAGAACAGTTGCCGTATCAGGCCGTTTTGCACGTGGACAGTACGCTTTCAATGATGCATCTGTAAAAGCTGATGTGGGTCCTTCTGGACATGCCAAATTTTCTGAGCCACCTGAGGAAGAAGAGGCGTTGTAATGCCTTCTTGACCATCACATAAATGTGGGAAGTCCAGGACAGGTTGTTGGTTATTGTCACTCCTCGGTACTTGATGCTCTCAACCCTCTCAACCTCCTTTCCGTTGATGTAGATGGGGCGTGTTCTTCTCCTGTCTTTCTGACTCCAGCATCTGCAGTTCTTACTATCTCTGAATGAGTTATAACCCCACTGCAAAGCCTCTTCTAAGGATGCCCCCCATTTCTGAAGAAGGATCCCGACCCAAAATGTCAACTTTCCTGCTCCTCTGATGCTCTGTGGCCTGCTGTGTTCCTCCAGCTTCACACTGTGTTATTTGGGATTGAAGGAATCTGTTGTGAAGAGATAGGCTTCACTTGAACCATGCTAGGACCAGTGTCCTGGCAAATCAAATAACTAATGTTGTAGAGAGGACATTAAGCTAATTATTGAGGGCATAGTTTTGGAGACTGGGATCCGTAGGCTTACAAAGCAAAAGAATATGGCAACATTGTAGAGCAAAAACAAAGTTGCTGGAAAAGTTCAGCAGGTATGGCAGCATCTGTGAAGGAAAAAACAGAGTTAACGTTTCAGGTCCGGTGACCCTTCGAACATTGTAGAGCAGCTATTTTGATGTTGATACCCGGAGTCGGACGGGTTGAAATAAACATAAAAAAGCAGCAAATAGGATCAAAAGAAGGAAAAAAAAAACGTTAAAGGGCAAAATTAAAGGCTCTTTACTTAAATGTGTGTAGTATTCAGAATAAAACAGATGATTTAGCAGGCCGATTCAAGTTAACGTGTATGATCTTACAGCCATTAAAGAAACATGTAGACAAGGTGATCAAAGTCTCATGGATGCCCAGTTGAGTTGAGTTGCTAGATCTGTTCAAAGTCGGACCTGTTTAACATGGGAATCATATCATGCAACATGATAGAAGTTATTCTCAGTGTGAAGATGGGACTTTATCTCCACAAGGACTGTGTGATGGTCATGCTTACCGATATTGGCACAGACAGATGCATCTGCAATAGGCAGATTGGTGAGGATGATGTTATGTTTTTCCCTCTTGTTGGTTCCCTCACCACCTGCCACAGACTCAGTCTAGCAGCAACCTCATTTAGGACTCAACCAGTTCGGTAATAGTGGTTGATACTGAAGTTGCCCACCCAGAGTGCATTATGCTGCCTTGCCACATTTAATGCTTCCTGCAGGTTCGACATGGAGGAATACTGATTCATCAGATAAGTGAAGGGTGGGGTATGTGGTAATCAACAAGTGATTTCCTTGCCAGTGTTTGACCTGAGTCCATGTTGAGGCCTCATATGGCAACTCTCTCCCGATTGTATACCACTGTGCCTTCATTTCCACTGGGACTGTTCTGCTGGTGGGGTAGGACATACACTGAGACAGAGATAGAGATAGAGATAGTGATGGTGGTGCTTGGGACGTATGTTGATATGACAAATTAACGTATCATTCCATGAGTATGACGGTCTCTCCCAGCTTTAGCACTTGCCTCCAGATGTTAGTAAGGAGGACTCTGCAGGGTCAACATTGCTGTGTTTGCGTTTGT